GAATTTAGGGTGCTCTCATCTTCCCCCAGCCTTACTGAGTAATGCTAGTCCCAGGGCTGGCATTGCCCACTTGGGCACCAGAAGGGCACATCCCTGTCCACCTGCAGTAGCAGCCCTTGTGTGCAGAGTACTCAGGACCAGCACAGACAGGGTGAACATCACCTCCCCCTTCACCACAGCAGGGGACCAGCACTGACGCAAGCAGGGAGAGAAGGCGAGCTGTTTTCTTCAGGTTTGTTTTGTTTTGGGGTTTTGGGGTTTCTTGTTTTGTTTCCTTCAGGCCAGTTTTAGCTCTGTTTATGCCACAGTGGTCTGGCATTACATCTGGCTGGAGCTTTGTGCTCTGGGGCATGCACCTCACTCTGAGAAGATCCCTTCAGCCTGTGGGAGATGAAACAAAACGCCCTTCTCTGGGGAGCAGCCCTGGTCCCACCAAGTAAGCATGGCAGGGCCATTGGAACCTCCTCATGACTACTTTTAGGTACCCCAACTCAGCTGGAGTTTTGGCTCCCAGAAACCCAGTGCCTCTGAGTCTCATGCTGATGATGGCAAGGCCTTGGCACTGGGGAGTTCTGGCCAGCCCTGCTCAGGGCAGTGTGAGGACACTTCCCTGCCAGGCTCTCGTGCCCCCAGTGTCCCTTGCAGCCCTGGTTCAATGTGCCTGTGACCTGGCAGGGCAGCTCTGGGCCAGAGGTGGGTAAGAAATCTTATCCTACCACCCAGCTGAGAGCAGGAGGGTAAGGCCTGCTCCTGCCCCAAAACTGTATGGGCTATTTTTAACCCTTTGTGACCCTACTGGTCTCACACTTACCTGCAGGGCCTCACAGACCTGCTCCACGCTCAGCGTGTCCTTGATAAACTTGACACAGAGCTGGAAGGCAGATAGGAAGAGGGTGGACAAAGCAGGGACCCAACCCTGCCATCCCCTCATGTGACTCTCAGCATCCCCTGCCACCCCCAGGACACGAGACATGGGTTGCAGGCACCTCCAGCCCCATAGGGTTTCATAATGTAGCAGTGGGCTATGCAGGATGATGTCTCACAGCATGACTGTGGGCAGCCAGCTTGGCCACTGATTCAGCTTGATATGACCAAACCCAGTCAACCTGATAACCCCTAACCCTGTCTACAGACACCAGCCATGTCCTGCCACAGGGGACAACCCTGGTGCCAGCTGCAGTGCATTGGGTGACCCCAGCTTTACCCCAGCCCTGACTGCCAGCTGCACTCTGCCTGTGACTGCTGAGGGATCAGCACCTCCATCTGTATCCCACACACAGATCATGCAGGTGGGATGCAGCCAGAAGGGCACATTTATTGGTGAGCAGGACCTCGCTCCTGCCCATCTCAGCTGCCTACCAGAGCCCCTGGGAACCCCAAGGGGATGTGACATGCAGGGAGCAGCTGTCAGCTGAGGCAGAAGGGCCCTGAGTCATTGGCGAGAGGGACATGAGGTCACCCTGCAGCTGGGTGGGGACCCAGCCACGGGCTTTCCCAGCTGTCCTTGGTCAGCCCCTTTCCTCCCACCTCTCCTCCATGGCTCTCCCCACTGCAGGCCATCACCCCGAGGATACATTCGCTGGGTGCTGGGATGTGTCTCATGTGGCTGGTCTCATAAGCATTGGGTCCCCCTTT